TCCGCTTTTATTTCGCATTCTCACTAATCTGGTTATAGGGAAATTACTTGTGCTGGGTTTATTTTCCTAACAACTGGTATCAGAGCTTTTGGTTATAAATTTTGTCAATTTTTCTGCGAGGTTACTATTCACGTGAATAGTGAATTTTGTGAATAGTGAAATTCGGTCGGCGATACGAGTTTGTCGACGGAGGTGTTCTAATACACGGCGGTTCACAGAAATTGTCAAAAACGATCCAAAGAAGCCAGATTCGAGTGGGAGCGACGGCTGCAGACGAAGGGAAGGTGAAAATTGAAAAGTTCGATGGTGCGGACTTTGGATTTTGGAAGATGCAAATTGAAGATTTTCTGTACCAGAAAAATCTATATCAACCCCTATCAGGAAAACAACCAGAGGGCATGAAGAATGAAGACTGGGCTCTTCTTGACAGACAAGCCCTCGGAGTTATCCGACTGACGTTATCCCGCAATGTTGCTTTCAACATAGCAAAGGAAAAGACCACGGCGTGTCTTTGGCTGCTCTCTCCAGTATGTATGAGAAGCCATCGGCCTCAAACAAAGTTCATTTGATGAGGTGATTATTCAATTTGCGGATGGCGGAAGAGGCATCGGTGGCACAACACCTAAATGAACTCAACACAATCACAACCCAGTTGAGTTAAGTGGAAATTGAATTCGATGATAAAGTTCGAGCTTTAATTCTCTTATCATCTCTACCAGACAGTTGGAATGCTACCGTTACAGCAGTCAGCAGTTCGTCGGGAAACAGCAAATTAAAATACGACGATGTTCGGGATCTGGTACTGAGCGAAGAAATTCGACGAAGAGAATCGGGTGAAACATCAACCTCCTCAGCCTTGCACACGGAGTCCAGAGGGAGAACTTCAAAAAGGAATTCAAATCGTAGCAGATCGAAATCCAGAAGGGAAAAATCAAGAACAGGAAATAAATATTTTACCTGTTATAATTGCGGCAAGAAGGGTCACTTCAAAAGAGATTGCCGAGCACCGAAGAAAAATACCGGCGCACAGGAATCTGCCAACGTGACAGAGGAGACAGGTGATGCCATGATTCTAAGCGTCAACAGTCCGATTGAATCATGGATCCAGGGGCATCTTTCCACTCCACCCCATGCCAAGAAATCATGGAGAACTATGTCAGTGGTGATTTTGGGAAGGTTCATCTTGCTGATGATGAAACCTTGAAGATCGTCGGAAAATGAGATATCCGATTAAAGTTGCCAAACCAGACCACCTGGAAGCTGACAGGAGTGAAACATATTCCTGGCCTCAAAAGAAATCTGATTTCTGTTGGACAGCTTGATGGAGAAGGATATAGTACAACTTTTTCAGGCTGTGAATGGAAGATTACCAAAGGAGCACTCGTCATTGCTCGTGGTAAGAAGACTGGTACTCTCTATGTAACCTCAAATTTAGAGAATATCATTGCAGTAGCAGATGCTGATGGAAAATCAAACCTATGGCACCAAAGGTTTGGCCATATGAGCGAGAAAGGGATGAAGATACTTTTATCAAAAGGGAAGCTGCCGGATCTAAAGAATGTAGATGTCGGACTATGCGAGGATTGCATCTTTGGAAAACAAAAGAAAGTCAGCTTTACAAAGATTGGCAAGACTCCCAAGGCAGAAAGGTTAGAATTGATTCATACTGATGTATGGGAACCATCCCCAGTTCCATCTCTTGCAGGCTCACTATATTATGTCACCTTCATCGATGATTCAACAAGGAAGGTGTGGGTTTATTTTCTGAAGAAGAAATCAGAAGTCTTTGATACCTTCAGAAAATAGAAGGCCATGATGGAAAATGAGACTGGTTTGAAAGTCAAGCGGTTGAGGTCTGACAATGGAGGAGAGTACAGAGACAGTAGATTCAGAGATTTCTGCGCAAACAATGGGATCAAGATGGAGACAACAGTTCCCATAACACCAACACAGAATGGTGTAGCAGAGCGCATGAACAGAACTCTAAATGAACGTGCCAGAAGCATGAGGATACATGCCGGATTGCCCAAATTTCTATGGGCTGAAGCTATCAACACTGCAGCTTACCTGATCAACCGTGGGCCCTCAGTTCCTTTGGATGGCGGAATACCAGAGGAAGCTTGGAGCAAGAAAGAAATAAACCTTTCACACTTAAGAGTGTTTGGTTGTATTTCTTATGTACACATAAACTCTGCTGAAAGAAGTAAACTTGATGCCAAGTCCAACAAATGTGTCTTTGTTGGTTACGGTGGTGATGAGTTCGGTTACCGGTTTTGGGACTACGAAAATCGAAAGATCATCAGAAGCAGAGAAGTCATTTTAAATGAAAATGTGATGTACAAAGACAGGTCAACCGCAGAATCAAGTAATATCGAAGCTGAAACAAAGGAATTTGCTGAGTTCGAGGAGATTTCTGGAAATGATGTTCAGATCAGTCCTGAAACAGTTCAAGAGGAAGAACCACACACCAGAACTGAGACGCTCCTCCAGAATTCCTAAACCAACCCAACGGTATTCGCCTTCTTTGCACTACTTGTTGCTGACTGACAATGGTGAACCCGAGTGCTATGATGAAGCGATGCATGTGGATGATTCAGTCAAGTGGGAGTCTTCCATGAAAGATGAGATGGATTCACTTATGTTAAATCAGACGTGAGAATTAGCTAAATTACCACCAGGCAAGAAAGCGCTCCATAACAAGTGGATTTACAGGATCAAAGAAGAGCACGATGGGAGAAAACGCTACAAAGCAAGATTGGTTGTCAAAGGCTTTCAGCAAAAAGAAGGTATTGACTACAATGAAATTTTCTCTCCAGTCGTAAAACTGTCTACAATCAGACTGGTGTTGAAAATTGTAGCTGCAGAGAATTTACATCTTGAGCAGTTAGATGTAAAGACAGCTTTCCTTCATGGTGATTTGGAGGAAGAAATCTATATGAGGCAGCCATAAGGTTTCATAGAGGCAAACAAGAAAAACCTGGTATGCAGGTTGAAAAAGAGCTTGTATGGTTTAAAACAAGCTCCTAGACAGTGGTACAAGAAGTTTGATAGTTTCATGAGTAGCAGTGGTTTTACAAGATGCCAAGCAGATCATTGTTGCTACATCAAGAGGTTCGACAACAGCTTCATTATTTTATTATTGTATGTTGATGACATGCTCGTTGCAGGCTCAGATATGCAAGAGATTATAAACTTGAAGCAAAATTGTCGAAGCAGTTTGCTATGAAGGATATGGGCGCTGCAAAGCAGATTCTTAGGATGAGGATCAAGAGAGACACAAAGTCGGGGACTTTGATGTTATCACAGGCTGAATACATCAACAAAGTACTCTCCAGGTTCAACATGCAAGATGCTAAACCAGTAAGTACACCTTTAGGTGTTCATTTTAGACTCTCCAAAGAACAGTCACCAAAGACGGAGGAAGAACGTGCACACATGGTGAAGGTGCCGTATGCCTCAGCAATTGGAAGTCTAATGTATGCCATGGTTTGTACCAGACCAGATATTGCTCAAGCAGTGGGAGCTGTTAGCAGGTACATGAATAATCCGGGAAAAGTACACTGGGAAGCAGTCAAATGGATCCTCAGATATCTGCGGGGTACTACAAACAAAGTACTTTATTTCAAAGGTGGAGATACGATACTAACAGGCTATGTAGATGCTGACTTAGCCGGAAAAGTCGACATCAGAAGAAGCACTACAGGGTATGTCTATACTCTAGGAGGAACCGCAGTGAGTTGGGTTTCTCAACTACAGAAGATAGTTGCTCTCTCCACAACTGAAGCAGAATATGTCGCTGTTACGGAAGCCAGCAAGGAGATGGTTTGGCTCCAAAGTTTCTTGGAAGAGTTAGGCAATAAACAAGAAAACAATGTCTTGTATTGCGACAGCCAAAGTGCTATCCATCTAGCGAAGAATCCGTCTTTTCATTCCAGGACGAAGCATATACAATTGCGATATCATTTTATCCGGTCTCTTCTGGAAGATGGGATTTTGAAACTTGAAAAGATTAGTGGAGCTCAAAATCCGGCAGACATGTTGACAAAGACGGTGACCACAGACAAACTGAAGTTGTGTTCAACTTCAGTTGGCATGCTAGAGTAACAAGACTAGAAAAGCTGCTGCATTGATCGAGGTGTGAAGACAGATTAAAATCAGTCTTCAAGTGGGAGATTGTTGAAATTCAAAAGCACATGGCGTGGAAATTCAATGCATGGGCGGCTACACAATTCAACAATAATTAGGTTGCCTAATTTTGTTGAATTTGGGCAAGGGTTAATCACCAAATTGAGCCATTGTATTTTAGGGTAATTACAAGATTAGTCCCTAGTTTCAACTATAAATACTCTAGCTCATTTAGCTTCAAAATCATCCCAAAACATTTCTTTCTTCCTATACTAGAGAGCTTTCTTGTGAGTAGTGAGTGTTTTGTAAACACCTGTAAATTTTCTCTCTTAGTAAAAGATCTGCAGCAGCCCGGAGACGTAAGCACAATTGGCTGAACTCCGTTATCAATTTTCGGGTATTATTTTTCCGCTTTTATTTCGCATTCTCACTAATCTGGTTATAGGGAAATTACTTGTACTGGGTTTATTTTCCTAACAATTGTAACCAACAGCAACTTTACTACCAAAAGGGCACACCCAGCATGCAGAAGTCACATGTTTTGCTTCATTTTGTACTGATTGGAACATACTTTCACCTGTAACCAAAATAGCTTTGCTTTCTCGAATTTTCCACAAAATCATAAAGCCGTCTCTAAATATTATAAGAATTCTGTAGTGAAATGAGCAACACGTGAGAAAATATTCACTGCTGAGATAACACAATAAAGTTTGAATAAAAGGTAAAGAAATGAAGTATAGAAACACAAATGTGTCTAGATGCCAGAAATCCTCACTATAATAAGAGTCAAGGGTACTTGAAAAATGGCATCTCCCAGGAACTTAAATTATACACGAAAATTAACAGAATTAGAAAGTAAGAGTACCTTTTTCTTTTAGCTGTTGGCTGAGGGAGTATGGAGATAACAGCCCTATCAGCTAAAACTTCCGTTGGATTTCCTAAACAAGATGGTTAATCAAGTTAGATATATCAGTAATGTAGGACATGGTACCACAAAGTAAACTTCAAGAATTCTCGGAATGGCTGCAACAGAACTAACACATGAAAAGTATGTACAGTAATCAAAGAGGGGCAGTAAGTAGGTTTCTAGGAAAGGAGTCATTTGGAAACTCCAAATGAATCAAGTAGCATGCTTTATCCGTTTCAATATTTTGTCATCAGGGAAAGCAAAATGATGTCATTGTCTCCCAAGCCTTGTAGAGAGTAAACAAGAACATCTTGAAGGCATAAAGCTTGAACCTTGTAAAGTTTATTTATTAAAAGATAATGTCGCATGATTATGCTTAACAACACACTTCAAAGCTTAAGCTGATATGTATGTTGTCCTTACCATGAGAGGCTGAGAAAGGTAAGTGTATTTCATTTGTACAACATTACATACTTCTTGTTCAATCTTTAAAATCTTGATGTTGCCATCAGAGTCTCCAACATACCTGCAAATTCAGAAATTAAATCGACAAGTGAAGTTCAAATTCTGCATGTGCTTATCTTGAAAGTTGAAATAACCCACAGTGGAGCTAAGAACCAAAGATAGACTTACATGTAGGGACCAGTTTGCATAACCGTGAAAGAAGTAATTTCTTCTTTAAAGACATGTACATGAGACAAGAGCCTCTTTCCCAGGTCTCAAATCTACATTAAAATTTCCATAGAAAAATGAATTCCCATCGGAAAAAGAGGGAAAACAAAACATATTTATTGGTAAAATATAAAGCAAGAAAACATAGGCAATACTGATTCTGGTGATGTTAAAAGTAGACTACTGTTATATCTAATCTAACAGACCCAACAATTGACCAAGCAAGTAACTTGCCTCAATATGGTTCTTGAGATTTACATTTATATCGATGCCTTGATTCTGGAAAAACTGAATAGAGATAACGGTTCATATTAGTAATTCTGAATAACTTGATGAAAAAGAGAAAATGAGTTTTACAAGGCAAAAAGAAATACTGATATAGCATATCAATGATAATTTGATATGTATCGGAAGAACCACAATCGAAAGTAACAAAAGACCTCCAAAAACTTGCTTGGCACCGTGTCATCAGATTCAAGTAGTGCTTGAGAGTTATCTCCCCCAAAGAGTTTAATTCTTCCATCCCTGAAAATGAAAAATTACTTAAATAATAAACAGCTTGTAGTATATGGTTATCACCATACAATCAGATTTCAGATGCATCTGCACGGATCGGTGAAGAAGGATATTCAAGAATTAACCTTCTGTAAACTATATGTCCAATAATGAAGTGAAAAATGACTTAGCAATTACTTATCAAGCAAGTAATTAAGAGAGAGAAAAGAGGCTTACACAGTAGATATTGCAAGTATCTTTTGAACAGAATCATAAGAAAACATGCAACAACCCAACGGTATAACATAATGAAATACCAAATGTGGGTCCACATCACTTGCTTTCAAACCAACAGAATTTCCTCCAGGCTGAAATAGAAACAGTAATAGTGTCATAAGCTTGTTACTCCCAGATGCATTTTTCTTGCTAGCTCTAACAGTATAGGCCCAGAAAGTTACTATTGAAAAAAAGTTAGAATCAAATATTGATGATGCTAATAAATTTTATATTGGCCTTTTACTTTATTCTTTTAACTTTTACTAACTGTCAACTTAAAAGATAATGTAGTAGTTCTGCAATGATGAAATAGTAAGACCATTATCTTGATTCTTGATCAAGTTTTATGAAATTTCTGCCACTAATCTCATCCAATTTATTATAAATAATAAATAAAGTTGCTTTTGAGTGGGTGCACAGAAGACAAAACAAATGGATGGGGTCCCATGGATTGTCCACATCCAATCTTACTTGCAATAAAAACAGCACCGACTATAACATGGACAGGTTTTACTGGTGATTTTTAAACTTCCACCAACCAAATCAAAGTTGAGTATCCTAAATTTTGTTACTAACTAGAATTATAGGTATCCATCCGGATAGAAATGGAAGAAGTCTACATCCAAAGCCTCAACACAAGGGATACGCCACAGCGGCCTTGATTAAATAGTAAAGTTGTATCTTTAGTACCTTCCAAACAGTATTAATTCAATTAAGTCCTTTTAACTCCTTACTCCTTAGTTAAATGGGGGGGAAATGCATTTTTGGCTCTCCCGAAAATTAAAAATTCAATTTAAACCGTTTGACACAAATTTCCTGATTTTAACCCTGCCCTGCAGCTAAAGACATAGCACCAAACGTTTCAGGGAAAGCTTTCTTCTTTTCAAAATCTGGTGGCATGAGTTACTTCTTTTAAAGTTACAACTGTATATGTATACGAGTAATTTTTGTAACAGTTGTTAAATGTGGATTTGACATGGTGATCTAAGACTACAAGTAAACTTGATTAAACCTCCTCAGAGGGGACCTGGGAAAGGTGAAATAAAAAGGGGGAAATGGGATTCAAAGTGTTAACGATTCCAAATTTCAACCAGTACAGTACGCAATGCGTCTAGTACTTGAAACTATATCTGATTTGCAATTAGTTCAGACTTGAAAAAACAAAACTCTGAATCGAAATCCCATCAGCTTAAACTATAGTTTTTAATTTTAGAAGAGAGAAATCTCCGGATACAAACTAGTGCGAATCGAAAACGAAAAGTGAAAATCACAATCGGAAAAGTAAATGATAAATTTTACCTTCTTAGAAATGGAAGCCTTCTCCACCAGCTTCTTAACATTACCAAACATGGATTCTTCCTAAGCCAACACTCTCGGATTCCAAGGCCAAGTGCAGAGCCAGAAGTAATGTATGCAAATCCAAATTCTGCTTTGGGATAACCGAACTTCAAAAGGCTTTTCAAAAAACGAAGAAGAAAGTGAATTGGTGAGGGACGGTTGATTACAGTTTCTTCAAAGCAGACAAGCAAGTATAGTGGGAGCCGTTTCTATGTTTCTTCTATATTAGCGTAGCCCTGCTGGAAGTTTATTATTAGCTTTGGAATATTATTTTCTTTCTGTTTATGTAATATTATAATGAAACCAAAGACGGGATCGCTATCTCGTCCGTCTCTTTCGAGGAAGACGATCTGACTTTGTTCATCTTGCCGCCAAACGATAAGCCGGGGCTCGTTATAGGACACGTGTTGCAAACGCTGTGTGATGTTAATATGGAACTGCCCGCACTCGAACCAAGCCACCTTGCTTGCCCTTTTTGTATTTTGATTGGTATAAATAAAAAGATATGATTATGAGGAAATAAAGCAAATAAAGAAGGATTAAATTCTTTAGCACAAAATTTATTTCTTAGGGTGCGTTTGGTTCACGGAATATAAGATTACCAGTGGAAATAAAAGATTACTGTGGGAATAAAAGATTACCAGATAATAAGATTATTGAGAATGTTACATTACTGTGTTTGGTTGGTTTGGCAGGAATGTAAGATTACAGTGTTTGGTTGAAGGAATAAAATATTACTAGAATGTATATTTTACCAAATTGTCTTGTTCTATATTTATTTTTTTAACAAATGAAATTCTAAATATTTAAATAAAAATTATTTATATAAAAATTCTATTTGTTGATAATATATTACTTGAGTATTTAAATATATCATGTATATTTTAATTTTAATTAATATTAAATTTTATATAATTTATGTAAAAATATATTAAAATTTTACATCAACATTTAACTAAATGTTTATATTGTGGAAATTCTTCATAGATATTTATAATAATAAAAAGATGTAAATTATTTTTGTTATCTAAGATATAATATTTATTATATCTTCTATATACAATAATTTATTTATTTATCTTTTATATTTATACTTAATTCTGCATACTTTATCATTATTATTTATCTCATTAATTTATATTACAAAAACATAATTCAAATAAGTAAGAAAATATAACACTAAAAATCATATTGTCTATAATTCTATATTTCACCATCATTCATCATTATCTTTGCTAATATTTTAATAAAATTATTAATACTCGGTTCAAATCTGATTTGTACTTAACTCTTGATTACGAAAAGCAAGCAAGCCAATAATATTCAATCCTAATCTAATTTGTACTTAACTCGGCCATAAAATAACTTGTTCATCCGTCTTTTTATTTTAATTTTGGTTTTTAAGTACAGTTTTTCAGATTTCCAATTTTATAACCACTAGATCAGTCGACTCTCAATTGAATTGGTTCGATTGATTGAATTAAAGACCTCGAGACCTTGTTTGGATGTGCGTAACAGACTAACAGAGAAGTGCAAGCTTTGAGGAGGTCGGGGAATGCGTGGGAATCTGGGTGTGTTAGATTTGAGCGTGGATATGCAGGTGGCGAGGACTTCATTGTGGGATCATTGTGAGGAGAAACTGATTTAACGAAAGACTAAAACTCGTGTACTTGAGGTTAATTTTCCAACCGAACAATAAGAATCGAATTTCAGATCAAACAATTACAATTTTATTAGCATTATTTAGAAGGAATAAACAAGTTAAATGGATTCTACTATCAGTCAGTGTATTCTTTCTCTCGGATCAAACCACATCAACCCGGTGTAACAAAATAACAACCCGATGATTATGTTTAATAACAATGCAACGTTTCATTTCTTCTTTGGATATTCCCTTGCCCCAAAGATGGTTGATCCAACTCTGACATTGGTACTGCCCATTTCAATCTGTGGAAACAATGAGACAATCCATTAGACAGTCGTTCTCTCGTAAGCTTTAAAAGAATTGAATGCTATTTTATGGGGTTTGGTTAGGGAATATGACACAATAGGTACATGAGTATAAAGGTACAACCCTACAAGAGTTCTCGAAATATATGAGAAACTTCGAAAAAAATTAAGTATACTCATATCTAACACACCCAAATTTGAGTAACATAGCATGGTTTTGTGCACAGTATGTGGCAGGAGCACAGACATTGCACAACAATGTTTTAGTACTAAAGCATAGACAAAGCCAATTGCATACAAATATAAAGTTTTCCTTATCTAGATGGTAATGGGAAAACAATCCTTACAGCTAGCTCAAAGTCGCCAGACATTCTCATTGACAGTTCACATTGTTCTTCTGGTATTCCAAGAGCCTTGCAGACTCTACTTCGGCAATTTGTTAATGTCTGGGTATCAAATAAATATTGTTAGAAAAATAAAGAATCGATTGAAAAGGATGGAAAAACCGAGATAAGAAGTTCAACCACCTTGAAATTCTCTGTAGTTGATGTATAATCAGGCATCCCGATTGTCATCAATCCATAAAATTGAAGATTCGGGCAATTTAGACTAACATGTTTTGCAAGTTCCACACAACCTGAAGGCTCAACACCAGATTTTGCTGCAATAACATGATGCAGGAAAATACTATAAAAACGATCTCCAAGTGTTGATAAAAGGAGCTTCTTTGTCGCAAATATACTTGACCTAATCTAACTAGGTACTTAGCCCCAATGAACTAGGTTCCAATAGCCATGTTGATAGAGCATAGTACGGAACTAGAAGCTAAAGAAACAAGACCAGTTTTATCTAGCAAACTTAAAGACAAATACATGACAACACGCTTGAACGTGCAAAGCCTTGACACAACTCAACGAAAAACAATATATTTTCGTCGTAATAAAAATAAATTTACTTACATTCCTCTCCACTGGTGTTCACCTGGACTAAGACTTTCAAAGTTTCCAACCGCACGATTAAGATGATTTGTAATCTTGCCCAAAATAAGGAAGATGCTTAGTTTAATGAGGAAAAAACACAAATACTTGGCCACATTATGAATGTTGTTATTGACACTATCAATTGAAAGCTTTGACATAATGATTAATGATATAAGAAAACAAAATCATATAAGTCATTCTCTCTAAAACTAGATTCAAAATTAGGTATAAATTAATTAAAAAAGTTGTCTCTAATTCTGTCTCCAATACATAAAGGAACAGTTTATAGCAATTATACTAATGGAAATGAACAGAATTACCTTCTCATCATCTACAGTTTCCACCATGACGAGGTTCGACACAACAGCTGTATAACAATGAATATAAGTAAACACACAACAAACATTGCCCTCCAGCAAAACCAAATGAAGTAAAAGTTCAATTTCAGATACCCATTAAAAAAGCTCAGCTTAAAAGCAGTAATAATAAACTATGATGTAAACACGGACATTTTAATCGAAAGTTCCTAAAAACACGTAGCTTTGCTTACCAATCAAAGGCTTCAATTTATTGCTCTGCAAATTCCCAATAAAATGCCACTCTATGTCATCCGAAAGTTGCGATTGCAAGCACGGAAATGATTATTACTTCGGTACTTTATCATTTTCAAATTAGAAATGATTTTTTTGACTAGTTTGATGCTTTTTCTTTTGAATTAAGTGGAGGAAGAACCTGAGGGGCTTTCTCGACAAGTTCTTGGACGTAGTTTTCGCCGAAACATCGATGACCGACGTCGTACACTTGGCGAACGAGGGAGACGGGTTTCGTTTTATTGACGGCAACGACGCGGATCCACTGCGATTCACGACCACATCGCTCGGCGACCTGTTGGACTCTCTGGAGAACTGACCAGAGAGCCGACGCTGCTATTCCGTCAATCACCGCCGACGAGGCTGCCATCTCTTGTTCTCGTTGATGTTGTGGGTAGAGATCCGGTTTGGACTCTTCCAGATTGTTCATCAGTATTTGTGATTCTTATTTCCTTCGCTATTGACTGTATTGTCCAAACCTAATTAATCTCAAGAAAATGTGTTTTCCATGAAAGAGGTTTGCAGATCATCTAAAGAAGAACCGAAAAGATGAAACTGAAGAGAGGGAAGAAAATAACAAAGAGAGCGCGAAGGCAAAAACAACGCTTGAGAGAAAATGAAGGGTATTTTAGCCCAGCACATGGGAATAAAATAATACCTAAGAAAAGTAAGGGATTAACATTCCCGGTAAAAGGAGAGAATTTTTTACTGTTGGGAATATATCATTACTCTCTATTGGGAATATTTCCCATCCAAACATAAGAATTTGAATCTGGAAAAAAAAATTCCCATAAAATCTTGAATTCCATGATCCAATCACCCCTTAATTACAATGTTGAGATTTACGTTCTGTAAATTAAATTAGGTACATCGTACATGTTAATTAGTTAAACAGGCCGTACACTTACAATCATAGTATCAGACCTGTAACTAAATATTTGATTCGTTGAAAAGTATCTGAGAACCTTGTACTTTTTAAAAAAAATTAATGTAGCCCTCGAAGTATTTTTAGCCATCAAACTTAAAAAAAATTTAATGTGATCATTTGACCAACATTTTTTATCATTAACTTAATATTTTATGGTATTAACACGTAAATCCATAATAATTGATGATGTGACAGATAAATTAGATCGATCCTAGCATCATAGATCTCTCCGTTTGAAGACCTCCGTTTGAGCAACAGATACTCGCAGATTTTTACCACTATATTGGTGCTAAGGACACACATGAATGCCTCTAAATGAAACACCTTTGTCCGTACAACGTAAGAAGCTTCTTGATTGAAGCCTTTGACCTACGAGGTAGGGGAATTATATTAATTCTTGTGAATTTTCTTCAACTCTATGAGAGAGAAATATGAATCCCTCTGTAACTTTATGAGAGATAATTGTGAATTTCCGAATAAAGTATCATCCCTCAATTACAAAATATATAATAAAGCACCCGATAAGATTTTCTTTAAAAGGGAGAGAATCGAGTCTACCCCATATCCAGACCAAGGAGAAGGAGGGGGAAGATTGAGACAAGTTTAAGCATAGAAAGAGAGCATAAATCGATATAATAGAAAGAATAAAATAGACGCACAAAATGATTTTCTTTTAATATATTTAGTATAATGACAATGTAATTGAGAGGATTGGTAATTGATGTTGAAGAAGATATATTTAAGTGGGAGTTTGATATTTTAGTTAAATTAAAATTTGGACAAGACTTTAAGGTTGGATTGATATATATTTTAAAATTTTAGTGAATAGATAAAAAATAATTTATTTTAATAGCGTGACATATTATCAAAATAACAAAAATTAAGTTAAAAAATAATATATTGATAAAATTAATAAACAATATATATATATATATATTTAATTTAATGATCAAAATTGAATAAAGCTAAAATAAAATTGGTCAAATTTGTAATTTATCCTTCAAAAATATCCTTAAAGTAGAACAATTTCCCTACTCTTCGCTCGGCATTCCTTCACATTTCCCTACTCTTCGGCTTTGAGCGTCCTTCCTCGTCTCGCTCGCATTCTTGCAAAACTCGATGATCGTTATCTCAAATCATTCCGCGAATCAGGTCACTCCAATTCATCTATATTTCTATTGATATTGTAGTCATTGTATTTGATTGATCAGCTAATCACCCCCAAAGATTGTCTTTCAGCTGAATTTGTTTTTTTAATTCTGTTCCATATCTTTATCTCTATAAAAGGCTATCTGGATTTTCTTTTCTTTTTTTAACTTTTTTTTCTTCTAATCAATGTCTTTTGATTTTAGGTGTAAAGAACTATGCATATGGTTTTTATCTTTAAGAGAATCGTTTTTTCAGTGATGGGTTTGTTTGCTTATTTGCTTTAGTCTTTTGTAGCTCTGGAATTGCTTGAAAACTGTAGTTTAGTATTGAATAGTTCAGCAGTGAGCACTCATATAAGTTTCTAAGTCTTCATGTTTTTTCTTTGGGTCAGTTCTAAGTTGTTTAAAGAATCCCGTGTCTTCCACAAAAGCACCTTACCAGCAAAAAGGTGAATGAAAACAAAAACACAAATCAAAAGGAAGAAAAAGTCCAGCAACAATTAACAATACGGATTCCAAAACCAGATGAATGGAATGAAACCTAGCACTAGCAGGAGCATTAGCAACAGGATGCTCAAAAGTCTGTTTAAAAAAGCCCGTACTTTGGCAGGCCTTGCCGCCACTTCCGCTGCTGCTACCGTTCCCATCTCACCATCTTTTTCCAACTCTGCCCCTGCACCCATGGACACTCCTCTGAGGACCAAGCTTTGCATCATTGGCAGCGGCCCCGCCGCCCACACAGCTGCCATCTACGCTGCCCGTGCTGAGCTCAAGCCCATTCTCTTTGAGGGCTTCATGGCTAATGGGATTGCCCCTGGGGGCCAGCTCACCACCACTACCGATGTTGAGAACTTCCCTGGATTTTCGGATGGCATCCTTGGTTTTGGCCTTATGGACCGCTGCCGCAAGCAGTCTCTCCGCTTTGGTACAGTCATCTTCACTGAAACCGTCAGCAAGGTTGACCTGTCTTCGTCTCCGTTCAAGATCTTCACCGATGCAAAACTGTCATGGCTGACTCAATCATTGTGGCCACGGGGGCCATAGCGAGGCGGCTCAACTTCCCTGGTTCAGGGGATGGGGCAGGTGCTTTTGGAACAGGGGAATCTCAGCGTGTGCTGTCTGTGATGGGGCGGCCCCAATTTTTAGGAACAAGCCCCTGGCAGTGATCGGTGGGGGTGACTCTGCCATGGAGGAGGCCACCTTCCTGACCAAGTACGGTTCCAAGGTGTATATCATTCACAGGAGAGATACATTTAGGGCATCCAAGATCATGCAGAGCCGGGCTGTTTCTAACCCTAAGATAGAGGTGATATGGAATTCAGTTGTGGTGGAGGCTTATGGGGATGGGGAGAGAGGAATTTTGGGAGGGCTCAAGGTGAAGAACCTACTCACCGGTGAAATTTCCAATTTGGAAGTCTCTGGTTTGTTCTTTGCCATTGGCCATGAGCCTGCCACCAAGTTCTTGGAAGGCCAGCTGCAGCTTGACCCAGATGGCTACATTATCACTAAGCCAGGTACAACTCAGACCAGTGTGCCCAGCGTTTTTGCCGCTGGAGATGTCCAGGACAAGAAGTACAGGCAGGCTGTTACTGCTGCCGACACAGGTTAGTCGTTTTCTTTTATTGTCATCAAGCATTTTGCTGCTTACAGGGGCTCGACTTGAATGTTCTGTTTTACAAAATGCAGGGTGCATGGCAGCCTTGGAAGCTGAACATTATTTGCAAGAGGTTGGATTTGTGGAGAGCAAGAGCCATTTATAACAAGTGATGCCCTTGCTGTTTACATGCGTGCAACTTTATTATTTGCCAAGATGTATACATAGACGGATCAACGTTTTAGAAGAATGGCCAGTGTTATTTACATTCAATATCTGGTTTCAGTGGCAAGCTGCAGATCACCATATTCCTTTCTGTTTTTTCCCCCCAGCTCTTTCTATTGACTGCTAAACCTGAAACTAGTGGTAGTATTTTTTAGGTATTATTGACATTTTCTCAGTGCACAATCAAATTCATCCAGACCAAGCATCTTTCCAACCCCATCATTTTCATTTACAAAATCCTTAATCAAATCATCATCACTGCAAGCATCTAATATAACAAACTGCAATATCAGCATTACCTGAGCAAATTATGACTTGTAGGCACTCAGAACTGTTCGCAGGTTAAACCAAGTAGGTTATCTAGCAGTTCAGCACTGCTGTTTCGAAACTCCATCATTTGTTCATTATGATCATCATAAACTGGTTACTAGAGTTTTAGAGGAAAAAGGAAAAAAGTAACGTGCAAAGAATCGGCCATTAATTCACCAGCAATCACCTTGAGATATCACAAGCGGACTAAGAATTACCAATAACATGGTGACTTGTTTGGGAAATTGCATTTAGGAACTCTGAACAAACGTCTAAAAGTGTAACAACGCCATCTTGACTTTTCATTACAGTAACAAACTATAATCAGGACATCAAAAGATACCTAAATTTGAGAATCGAAGGTATATTTATATGTGTTTTCTTCTTATTGGAGAGTATCGATTTATAAAAAAAATGACACATAAATTGTTGATGCGGAAAAAGAAATGAGATGAAAAACCAAAAATAAAAAAAATATTACATCAGTAATGATGTTAATTTTTTAACAGTCGGTAATTAAAATAAAAAAAGAAAGTAATATTAATGATGATTTTATCAAAAATAAAATTTAATAACGAAGAGAGAAAAGTGACAATAGTTTGGGACTAATGATCTAGTTGCCCAAAAATACTACTTTTAAAATCTAGCATAAGCGAACAGCTTTAAGTGATGATACTATTAAATAAATTGGGTAAACTACACTTTTAGTACTTCAATTATCATTTTTGTTTCATTTTGGTAATTTAACTATTTTTTTCAAAATCATACCAAACATTACGTTTTGGTTTCATTTTGGTCACTCAAAAAAAATTAATAGAACTACTGACATGGTATTTTTTCAATGATTACGTGATATTATCTTATGGTGACACATCAGCATCACTGTTAGTAGGTGACCAAAATGAAACTAAACCTAAACATTAGGTATGATTTAAAAAAATAGTTTTGTGACCAAAACAAAATAAAAGTGGTAGTTGACGTGATAAACATGTAGTTTACCCAAATAAATTTACGAGATTAAAAAGTAAAGATCCCCTTTTCTTCACATTTTCCTACTTGGCTGCAAGATTGTCTTGGCTTTGGGCTTCTTTCCTTCTCTCGCTCGACATTGTTCCGAAGCTCATCGTTATATTAAACCTCAAATCATTCCACGTCTCAGGTACTCTGATCCCACTCCAATTTATCTCTATTTGATCGTTATAGTCATTGTATTTGATTGATCAGCTAATCACCCCAAAGATCGTGGCTTTCACTTGAATTTGTTTATTAAATATATTCCATATCTTCATCTTTATAGAAGGGGTTTTGGGGTTTCCTGTTTTATTAACTATTTCTATGTTTAATATTTAGGATAATAGTCTTTTCAGCGATTTTTTTTTTTGCTTTCTTGCTTTAGTTTTGTAGTTCCTGAATTGCTTGAAAATTGATAGTTTAATATTTGAATAGTTCAGCAGTGAGTACTCATATAGGTTTCTTAATTCCGTGTCTTCCAGGATAGCACCTTACCAGCAAAAAAAGGTGGCTTGTCATATTCAGTTAATAAAAACTGATTTTATCAGATTTTGTGCAATTCATATTTTAAGCAGCTTTTGAAAGATGCTGCTTCCTTTTCGCAGTAAGTGATTTAAGTAACATTAGATTTTATTTAATCAGCTTAGCCGTCACAATTGCACGATAAGAAATCTACTTAATTCATAGGCCGTTTACATTTGCACAAGCAGCCAAACTTAAGAGGATGTCCGATGCGCCAAGGATAAGGAACTTGCAAATTGTGAAGCCACTTTCCTTTTTTAGTCATCGGTGTTAATGATTGGGTTTTTCATTTTATTAGGTTACACGAATTTATGATTGGGTTTTTCATTGTATTAGCTTACATGAATTTGAGTCTTTGAACAATCTTCTTCTGGTGTTTTGTGTTTCATTCGAATTTTGTGCTAATCAGAGGATTGATAGTTGATACAGAGATTTGATTTGGACTATGGAAAACGTTTTTGTTCTAATGTTAGGTATGTAGGGAAGCCTACTCTGTCAAGTTTAACAAGTAAGGATAAGTTTAGTCTTGAGTTTTGGATGAGGTCTATTTCATTTGCAGTACAGTTTAGATATATTTAAGGTCAGGAATAGTTGTTTTTTAATGGTTCTTGTTTTCAATTTATGGTTCATGTATTTCCTTTTCTCTTTCAAGAAAGAGAGCATGATCTCATAAACACTTAACCTTATTTGCTCTACTCTAGTTATTTTCCCCCCCCCCTTAAGTTGTTTCTGTATCACCTGTACTGACAAAAGCAATACTTAGACGTCCAGGTCAGGCACAACACAACCAAGAGTTGAGGCTGTCCTATGATTCTGCTTGTGTTGGTCATAACTCATGTTATGCTAATCTTCCGGTTTTGGAGATTTCCTATTGCTTCCGTATCTCAAGTCTCAACAACTTGTGCAACCTTTTGTCAATACATCATAATGATTGTGGCAATTTTTGTGTTATTTTTTAGCACTTTTCCCCTGACAACCTAACTACAGTTTATCTAAACATGCATGTACTTACACTCCATGTTACCTTCAAGTTTGGTAGATTGCAGACATGCTTCTTAATGTCATACTCAAGTTTAGTCCTTAGGCCTGAAATGAATCAAATTACACACGAACAGAAAGAGTTGACAAGAAGCAAATGGATTGGAGATTAAGTTGTGAATTACACAAAATCTGAGTAAACCAATTGTTAATTAACTGAATTTATCAAGCCACCTTTTTCCAGGTAAGATGCTATCCTGGTGGAAGACAGGAGATTCTTTAAACATTGCTTTTTTATGCTGTGGCAAACATTTTGTTGACACTTACATTCATGTTTAGGGTAATTTCTCTCTATTCTGTTTAGTTGTTTGTTCCAACTCCGAATTGTTTCTTCATTGGATTGAATTGAAGCTAGCTTTTTGTTCTGCTCTTTTGTAAGTACCAATCCAGTTCACCCTTTTTTACCATCATCTTATTCTCTATATTTTTTGTTTAGGCCTTTTATTGAGAATATTTTCCTTCGTTTTTTATTTAAATATAAATATAGATCTTTCACAGATAATAATGGAAAGGCCAAGACAAAGGCAGTTGAAAATTTCAAATTAGGGCTTGTTATGTATAAATCTTATTTGCACAACAGATGGAAGAAAACAAGGAAGGATCCATAAAATTGGAAGCCCAAGAGGAGACTGGGAAGCGACCCTCCATTTTCATCATTGGATGTCCCAGTGTCGGCAAGCGCACACTACTCTCCCGTAACTCTCATTTCCTCTGTTCTTTCTATTTTTATTTTGTTGGAAAAACATGTTTCATGGTTGATATCCATTTATTAAAAGTTTTGTCATATTTGATAAATATTATTATTATTTAAAAAACAACAACAATGCAGGGCTTGCCTCTGTGGAGTTCGAAGAAGAAGATAGCTCCCAAGTGGTTGTCAATGGGTCTGAATGCCTTCTTTCTACTCACTTTTAACATGTTTGTTTGTTTTAGTTAATTATACAATAGATGGCCTTTCTTTTTGTTGAGTAAGTAAAATCAAACTCTGATGATCGATATCTTTACCATCAACAGCTGGACTATCAATACCAAATACTACTCTGCTGATGTTTCTCTGTGTATGGCTCATCTTCAAGATGGATTTTCAGTTCAAACCCTCCCTATATTTGACCACTCAACTGCCTTGGTCATGGTTTTTGATATGTCTAATGTAAGCATCTTAGTTTTTCCAGTATTTGTTCAATTCCTTCTATTTCTGTAGCAACAACTTTTGCCTTCTATCACCATATTTATAACTGGAGTACAATTTCTATATAAATTAGTATATATTGTCATGTAACCACACCTTCCTTTTTGCCTTTTTTTCTATCTCTTGCAGTTGTCAACTCTGGCTGCACTTCAGGATTGGGTGTCCTACACAGATATCCAAAACTTTGAGATTTTACTCTGCATTGGAAACAAAGTGGATCGAATTCCAGGTCATCCTGTCCATGCTGAATACAAAAATCGCCAACTCAAACTTGCTGATTCCTCTACTCATCCTTCATATGATTTCACTCAATATGGAATTTCTGAAGATGAAGGAAGCAGTTTATTGGGAGATGTAGACCCATCCTCAAACATTCGTAGGAAATGCTTGGAATGGTGCATTGACCATAACATTGAGTTCATTGAAGCTTGTGCTTCCAATGCTGAATTTGACAAATGTAAGCCTGTCTTTAGCTTCTGCACCATCATATCCATTGTACTTTGTTGTTACACTGCCTATACACTGAATTAATGATATGGAATAACATTCTTCAATGCCGAATTTCCAATATGCAGTCATGATAAATTGTATTAATCATGACATCTTGCTCTGTAAAATGTATTTTGTCTACAAACAAATCAAGAAGATGTGCACATATATAATTGTGAGATGTTTTACTTGATGTTTCTCCACATGACCTATTGAATATAACTTTCCTTGTCGAAAGTGTGTGGATGCTGTGACAATCACTCACAAGAATGAACCTTAAGGGGTCATGTATAGGTTAGATCTTCTTATGCTTAGTTTTGGTAATGTTGGAAAAGAAACTGGTCTTGGCAGGTTTGTCGGTTGATGGTGATTTACAAGGAGTTGAACGTCTGTATGGTGCTCTTTCTGCTCATATGTGGCCTGGAATGGTTCTGAAATCTGGTGATAAGATAACTGAACCTACGCTACCCGAGAAAGAAGGTTATATGTGATATCTTGGTTTTCTTTAATAAAAGTTCTTCCTGATTAATTAATTTCTAAATATTATTGTTGCCCTGTCCAGATTCATCAGAAGAAGAACCTGATTATCAGTTTGAATATGAAGTGCTATCTGCGGGTTCAGCTGAACCAGGGGATGACATGTTTGACGAATGGGTTTCTGCAAGTGCAGCTAACACATCCCTGGATATAGGGAAGTCAGTTGATGAGGGAAAGTCTGTTATAGAGTGCGTTCAAGGAAACATAACCAGATGCGAAAAGGAGTCGCATGCTGCTTCTCCAATGGTTTCTGCTTCAGGGGAGAAAATTGATAGAATGGAACCCAATGCCAGAGAACCTGATCGAGTATCAGCTTCGGAATTAGATGATAGCCCGCATTATGATTTTGAGGATTTGGAACAGTTGGTGTCTGAGATTGGAAATATTCGCAGCAACTTGAGGTTAATGCCTGATTTTCAAAGGAGGGAGATGGCTGCCAAGCTGGCTTTAAAATGGCTGCCATGTTTGGTGGTGGCAGCGATAATGAAGAGGAGATATGAGTTAATAATATGGGTTTCTCTTTGCATTAGAACTTTCATATTGATCATATGATTCATTCCTTAATCTCGACTGTTCAAAAATTTGGAAGTTACTGATATGAAACCCTTCAATGTACTTAAAAAAACTCTCTATATGTCTGTGTGTGCGCCAAAATTACTTTTAAAAAAGGCCTTGCCACCACTCGGCATCTGCATGCTACCTACATAGCTCATGATCCTTGTTTAAATAGGGCAGGCTTAACAAAGGAGAAATCATCATTTTTCGCTTCTCTATGCCGAGTAGCAGTTGTTTGCTCATCGCAATCCACAATAAATTGGAGGGTGACTGACATGGGTGATGGTTTGGCTTCATCGTCACAAGTGTGATCTTAGTAGGCATATGAAGAGTGACCTGTAGTTTTTCTTCAATGAAGTGGATGTCCAGATGCAGGTGAGGGGAAGCTGGGCTTGCACTTCCACCCTGGGTGGTTCTTGTGGGAGACTTTCCTGCCTCCACATGCTTCTTTTTCTTTTTTTACAGCCAAATGCCGATAACAACTCTATTACCGTGCAATTGACCCAAAAAGAATTAGAGAATATTCTGTAAAAGTTGTTTTCTAAAATCTTTGATTCGAATAGTTATATCTACGGATGTGTTTGTCAATGACTAAGAAAGATTTAAATGGATATTAAATTGTAATCACTCATATGACATTGTAATCACTCATATTATTAAAAAAAACACTTAAAAAGGCATTTGTTGGCGTTTTGAAGATTAAACCTGTGGTAGATGAAACGAAGGTTGAGATTGAATATTCTAACGAGGAAGGTCATGATGGCGAGTCAGTTGCGCTCACTGTTCATTCCTTAGCTGGTTATTCTAATCCTCAAACTATGAAAATTGAGAGGTTTTTCTGAAATATCAATTCGAATCCAGTATAAATGTTTATTTATATATTTGGTTTTTTAAAAAATAAAAGAGTTCTGATTTTTGTATTTCGAATTTTAAAATTTTGCAAAAAAATCACGATTTATATTGTTTTAAAAATTTAGGGTCACTTTAATGTCTGAAATGTGATACTCGTAATTTCGACAAAGATTTTAAGTCGAATTTGGGGTGTTAAAATTTTCTTTTGGGTCATTAGGCCTTAAACACTTAATTATAACTATGATTTTTTTAGTAATTTATCCACCTATTACTCGAATATTGTATCATGTAATTATATAAGACAAACAAAATATTACATTTA